TTTTATTTTTGTATCGTGATTAAAACAACCCTTAGCACTTGAAATAATAATAATAATCTTCAGACCATCAATCCGTCTGATTTTTTAAATTGATGTTGGTATAAAATTTGAATGATAACGATAAGCGAAAACCGCTTGATTTTTTCTATTCACACTAAATTATTTTAATAATGGGCAAAGAAAATTCTAAGGTTGATTCTCCGTTAGATCCAGTTTTTTCCCGGACAAAAGGGGAGCAGAGTTCCTCCTTGGCTGTAGAAAATGTCAAGTTCACAACGGTTACTTCCCCGGAGGTAAACTTAGTAGACGAAGACTCAAAGGAGACAGAACTTGAACATCAAACAGACAGTATTGATTCCAAAGAAAAGAATTTAACGTGAGTGCATTCTTATTAGACAATATGATATATAGCTAATTTTTCACTATCCAAGAAAATGTAAACAATCCGTTGCAAACTACAAAGATTAGCGAGCATGAAGTTTAACCCACTTTATTCGTCGAATAAAGCCTAATTTCGGCACAATTATCTTAGTTGTAACTTTTGGAATTCAAATTAGACTGCATTATACAGGTCACTTTCGCGAAGATCCCTTCGGCTTTATGATGCAAATGGGTGCATTCTATCAAGGAACGGTAGGGCACGAATCATTACTTCGCGTTTTTTTTTTTAAAAAAAATAATTTCTGTGATATAAAATGAACCACTTACCTTCGCTATTACATTATAAATAAAGGGGTGGAGAAGCTATAAAAACTATATCGGCAGTAGGATATTTTATGAGGGATACACGGAAGAAGTTAAAGAACGTGTATTAAATAGCGAACGCGGTAAAATATACTTTATGTCAACATCATATTTGTTTATTTCAATAAATCATGGATAAAAATTGAGATTTCTTGCATTTTAGTTCTCTACATGATCGCTTACCTGGCCGAAAAACAGGCTAACATCCTCGCTCAAACAATACCAAATGCTACACCGAAACTTATTGCCAAAAGAAAAAAAAAATTCGAAAAAGAACTACAAACAGTGGCCAATACGATGGTGGAGAAGTTGGTTACTAACTTCGATAATCTAAGATTTATGAGGTTCGTCAATGTTAACAAGTCAATGATACAAATAATAAGATTCTGAGAGAAGTGAGAGTAATAAGATTTAAATTTCTTTAGAGTCATCACTTATTTTACGAATAACATACTAGTAAGGATGTATCACCAAGGAATTAATATTTGCGAAAGAGATTTTATGGAGGTGCGATCTACACTTCCTATCAAACGATACACGTATTTCGCAAAATCTGTACTAAAAGTTACTCTCTTTCTAATTATAGCTTCGTCGTGTGGCTATTAAAGCAGCTCAGAATTCACAGTCCCTTATCATTGTTCCATGTCATAAATCACACATAGACTATTTAGTTGTGTCATACATCTTTTTCCGTTTGGGCTTGGCACTTCCACACATAGCTGCGGGAGAAAATCTTGATTTACCAATTGTTGGTGGAGTTTTAAGACGTGGTGGTGCCTTTTTCATTCGACGCTCGTGGGGAGAGGATCAATTATACAATAGTATCGCGAAGGAATACATAGAAGGGTTATTAGAACGTGGTCACAACATCGAATTTTTCATAGAAGGAACTAGAAGCCGTACAGGGAAAGCTCTGCCCCCAAAATTGGGACTCATGAAAATTATAGTGGATTGTATATTGTCTGGAAGAGCCAAAGATTGTTGGATAGTTCCAGTTTCTATTCAGTACGACAAGGTGATCGAAACCGAGTCTTACGTTAACGAATTATTGGGTAATCCAAAGGAACGAGAAAGTCTTTGGGGGTTAGTTAATAACACCAGATTATTACAACTGAAAATGGGACGGATTGATGGTCTGAAGATTATTATTATTATTTCAAGTGCTAAGGGTTGTTTTAATCACGATACAAAAATAAAA